ACCCTCTCTCTTCCTTTTTTCACTTCTATAAAATTGGTACATGCAGAGATGCTTGACATAAGGAAAGAGGCAGTGAGATCCTTATGCAGAAACCTAGATAGGCAATTTCAGGACCAGGAAAAAGAGAATCTTCAATGCTACAGCCATCTCTTAGGATATTTAACTGAATTTTGTATCATCTTCCATATCCTGTTTTTGTCATCAGTGCACGTAGGGCTATTAGCATCTAACAGCGTTAGGTCAGGGATCAGATCAAGTTCATAATTGTTGTTTGGCTTCTAATGGGATGAGTTCCCTTCAAATCTCTATAAAGGAATCAAAATATAATCTAGTACATTAAAGTATGCCCAAAGATTTTTGTCATAACTGAATAAATATCATTTCGTCAGAGAAAGAATTGAAAGGGTCATGGCTTGTCCTTGCGCCTGTTAGAATGTAAGCTGCATGAGGTCAGGGAATCTGCTGCCTGCAGAGGTACCCCTAGCATCTAGAATCATGGTGGGCACATTTTTATGGAATCAGTGTTGACTGACTGACTGACTGACTGACTGAATGAATGAATGAATGAAATAGGTCTAGAATGTGAAGATTTCATTCACTCTCTGTAGCAGGATGGAAACATTCCTCACATGAAGTCTTTGGTGAGCTCATGTACCAACCATTGATCTTAAGGCTGAACTCAGTCACTGGGCAGACTGTAAGCAGTGGGTGAGTCCTACTTTCCAGCAGAGGTATCTCTCCCACAATAAAAGAAAACTTGACAGGTTGGGTGTCTAATTGTTGCTATAGTCCAGTGACAGGATGAAAATAAGTGTGTGTCATCCTAGAAAACTGAGAATCAGATGATTTTTTTTAAGATTTTTATTTATTCATGAGAGAGAGAGAGAGAGAGAGAGAGAGAGAGAGACTGGCAGAGGGAGAAGCAGGCTTCACGCAGGGAGCCGACGTGGGCCTCTATCCCAGGACTCCAGGATCACGCCCTGGGCTGAAGGCGGCACTAAACTGCTGAGCCCCGCAGGCTGCCCGAGAATCAGATTCTTTGTCCAAGTGACCACACCAAAGTGCACAGTCTCCTTTGGGTCAAATCTGAGCAGCCAAATACCTGATCTTTGTCTCTTTGAGATCATGACTTCAACAACAGGTGTTATATAATTGAGTAGAAGCTACCATCCCTCTATGATTATTTTATCTGGGAGATGAAGGGTTGGAACATGGTGTCTGAGGCCTTTGATGCTTCTCAGAAACAACAGATGGAAGACTTTAGAGTTGAATTAAAAAACAGCAACTTCGCTTAGGTTGTGTGAAGACAAAGGATTTCAAAGGAATGAAAAGTTGATCCGATCCAAAAGCATATGGCCAACATTTTACTTTGCCTTTAAAAGGACAGGTGGGATTGGGAAGCTTTGTGGAAAACTTGGTTTTTCTGGAAATTAATATAGCTAAATTATCATAAAAATAAGGCTAGTAAATTACCTGCTAGGCTTGTACTTTTGAGGGTGCTCAGGGGGAGAACACGCTCTGTAGAGGAGACAGAAAATATCTGTCAGTCTATCATATGTATTTAAGAGAGAGTGTACAATTGGGGAGTGGCAGAAGGAGAGGGAGAAGCAGACTCCCTGCTGAGCAGGTGTGGGAATCTATCCCAGGACACTGGGATGGTGATCTGAGCCTAAGACGCTTAACCAACTGAGCCACCCAGGTGCCCTGAGCCAGAATATTTAGTTAGAAGGATTTTAAACGTAATGATGGAGGAGACTTCTCCCCTATACTGCTTAGGAAGCTGGGCATTTTATGTAGTGCTAGTAATTTTTTTGGTAAAGCTAGGATACCTCTACTGAATTGGTTTCTCTAGCCCTGTCCCCTAGACTTTTATGAGGAAATGCATTTTTCAGCACTCAGGGACGCTGTACGTTTAGTATCAGAAGTATCAGAATGTGTCAGCAGACTTGAAGCTAATTTGAAATCCCAAGTAGTAAATAGAGTCCGACCCATGAATCAATCCCCTTTGTGCTGTTTAATCTGAAATGTAAGGATGACCAAAAAAGTAACTGTCCAAACCAGGATGCTTCTCCAAGTAGGAAGTAGGGGTGGGGTACTACTTATAGTCGTGCCCAACCCTGTCCCAGGATGTATGGTGCATTTACCCAGTGGGATTCAGAATTGAATGTGCAGCAGATCACCTAGAGGGCTTGTTAAAACACAGATTGCCAAGCTCCATTCCCCAAATTTCATAATTCAGTAGTTCTGGGGTCAAAACTTGGCTTATCTAACAAGTTCACTGGTGCTGTTGATGCATCTTGTCTGGGGACTACATTTTAGGAACCACTGCCCTACCTAGAAAGGCTTGGTGCTCTTATGCAGATGATGTGATTTTCATTTGAAACAAACTCTCCTTATTGTCCAGTTGTCCTCTATTAGAGAGCCTCCTGCAAGTGAGGATACCCATAAGGAGGATGGCAGAAAAAAGCTTGTGTTGGCTTCAGCCTCTTATCTCTGGACTGGTCTGTTCTTGGGATTCCAGAAACTGTTCATCCTGGGAAGTTGAGACAGCTTACTTGATACCAACCTAACTTTCAAGGAAATGCGGAAACCAAATGACATAAATGTGATTCTGGATTCTTACCAGAGAGAGAGAGAGGCTTAGGAAGCCTCCACCCTAAATTCACTCTAGAGGCAGCACTATTCCTCTGTCTTGCAGCTGACTCCAGATCTTAGATCTAATATACCTTGTCTCTCTTTTTCCCTTCCTTGCTTCCTTCCTTTTTCTGATAGGAACAATGTCGTATCTAATTATATAGGGATTATATGGTGGTTTTGCTTATTAAGCATTTATTCATTATTTTGCCCTGTCTTTAACTGGCTTACATTGTAGACAGTGTTATTAGTAAGGCAAATGTGAAGTGGGTTTCAGCTGTAGATTGATAATTCTCAAAGTAAGGACCCCCAGATAAACAGCATCAACCGGGAATTTTACATCAGGGAATGGGACTTAGGGAGTTTGGTAGCCTGGCCTCTTAGAAGGTACTTACTTAGTACCTTGCTTCCTAGTGTACTCACTAGGTATTTTAAATTGCACGCCCCCCCCCCCATCTTTCCCCCAATTCTGTTGACTTTAGGAAACTTTTTTTTCTATTGCTGCCACTTCCCCCCAACTTGTATTGTGTTTAAGAATGTCAGGGATCATTGTAATTTATGTTTCAAGTATAGCTTGCCCCCTAGTATATGTTCCTGATATCAGATTGAACATTCTTATAGCCAGAGAATTATAAGTACTAACCAACAAATACATGATTGAGGATGAAAGTAGTTGAAGAGGATTTTAGGACCTGCTGATTGTTGATTTGGTGGAGGGGGGTGGAAGGGGAGGGAGTAGGTGTAGCAGTGGTAAGGTTGAATTGATTGAAACCCTGTGGCCTCAGAGCTGCCATGAATGGAGTACAAGTGCCTTCCATGTTCTCAGCCGACTCAGGCTCATGGTGAGATCGGCTGGGTGGCCTTGGTGAGGATAGTTATATCTTGTCTACCTGCTTCCTCAAGTGGAAAATGGGCACTACAACATCTCAGCAAATGGTAATTCTTTCTCCATACCCTGTCCACTTCCCCTTATTGGGTCTTCATGCTTTTGAGTATCTTGGTTCCCCTCATTTCTTCCTTACCGCACTATTACGGTCACGATAGCTCAGAGTTTTTGTGTCTCTTACCAGTTGTGTATGTGTGTGCATACTATTCTATGTGAATTTATATATTTATAGAATTTATTGAAGCATAAAATTCATGTGCTCAAAAATCATAAACATTATTTTGGTATTTTTATGGTGAGTACATTGTGTGTTCTTATTTTTTTAACTTATCAGTTAAGATCAGGTATTTAAGTTTTTTAGGGCTAAAAAATTTGTGTCAAGTCTGCTTGTTTTAACAAGATGAATATGTAAACTCCAGTGTGGCGTGAGGAGTTTTTTGTTATTTTTGTTTTTTTTATGTGTGGGTTTTTTTTTTTTTTTTGTTTGGGGCCAGTGTGATTTTTTTTTTTTTTAAGAGGTGGGAGGGGCAGAGGGAGAAGAAGAGAGAGAAACTTAAAGTAGCCTTCACGCCCAGCAAGGAGCCTGACTGTGGGGCTAGATCTTATGATCCTGAGATCACGACCTGAGCTGAAATCAAGAGTTGGACACTTAACCAGCTTAGCCATCCAGGTGCCCCCCTTTTCCCCCACTATGTGGTATTTTTGATTCCTTGTCTCCATAGGATTAGGTGTACTTTATTAAAAAAAATATTTCTGGGCTAGATGGATTGTATGAGTTTGGTTGAATATGCTCAGTGTAGATCTGTGTCAATTCCCCTGTGTATAATTTAAATTCATAATGTTTAAAGTATTTGAAATAATTTAGCTGATTAGTCATCTACCATAATAAGTAACATATTAACTCAGATTTTTGCTGTGCGCAGGAGAGATATTTTTGTAGCTTATAATTACCTCCAGAGGCAAATAAATATCATATTAGGCATTATTAGGGTTAAGTTATCCCAGTAACAACGATAAAAGCTTTTACCTATATATGTACATGTGGATTATAACTATATTTCTAGGCATACATGCAACTGCAAACAAAAGCACTCACACTAGCTTATAAGCATTGTCATAATTGATTTTATAGTTTTTAGAGGCAATTTTGATACACATTTCGAAGCTTTTAAAATGTCCTGGATAAACACCTTTTAGGCATTTTCTTTGATAGCTCTTCTTCGCAGATATATTTTAACAGCCACAACTGGACATCATAAGTAGCCATCAATGATAAAATCTCTCACATTTGGTTCCCCGACTCCGTATGAGCAAATATACTCCCATAGCAACCCATTATAGATCTCAAACAAGTGACTTACTGAGAATGGGGATCATCCGGTGTCACCGGGCCCTGTTGCTGTCAGCTCACAGATCATTTCTGTCCCCGTACACCTTTCACACGTGCTCACATTCTCTCGCGGGGAAGCGGCTTCCTTACCTGCCTGGGGCCCTGCGCCTGCGAGCTCAATTCAGAGTGTCTCAGGGTATGCTCCAGACTGGGCCTGTGCGCCGAGTTCCTGCTCGTCTTCAAGAGCAGATGAAAATCAGGAACTTGACAGAAACCGCAAAATAATAGGTCTCCTGTCACTGCTCAGTTGGTCCGTCGGAACTTAAGGCTGGGAAATGGAAACGAGAGAGAGAGAGAGAGAGAGAGAGAGAGAGAGAGAGAGAGAGAGGTTTGGATCTGGAGGGGGGGGTTGGATCTCGGGGGGGGGGTCAGCTGGCCTCTGTGTTACTTCAGAGATGCCTTCAAAGATCGGAAAAAAAAGCTTGGCTCCCTCCCTCCCCCTGCACCCCCCCCCATCTTCATGAAATTTTCTACTACTTTTTTCAACATCCCCATGTCATTTGGCAAATGATCGGCCAGGTGACCTCTAAATGGGTCTCCCGTGTGAACGTGTACGCTCCCCATCCACTTGCCCCGGTGCAGGTGGGGAGCGGCCGTGGGCAGGCGAGGGGGGGAGACGTGGCTCTGCCTGGAGCCCCCCAGCAGCTCGGTGCTCCTGGGCAGGGGGAGCTGGGGCTCCCTGGAAGAGCAGAGTTAGCGCTTGAGAGAATCAGCAGTTTGACACCAGCGGCCACAGCTGTGAGGTGAGACGTGCTGCTTCTGTCGCTGTTATCCGCACTTTAAACTTTCCACGTTGGAGCTTTAGTGACAGGTTGAGAGCAGCGCTTCTGAGCAGCTCATCGGCTCCTCGCCTTCCGCTTAGCTTGTGCCGCTTACGTTGCTGTTCTGAAAGCAAGAGGCAGGAGCCGCTTCCCAGTTGGAGTCGAGGTGGCGCCGCGCAGCTTGGCGTGTCCCGAAGCCTGTGCTCCAGGATCCCGGCTGACCGGGGCCCCAAGGGCCTGTCACCTGTGTGACCCGGAAGCCGCGCCCTCTGCCGCTCTGGAAGGCTCCTCCTGCGACGCAGGTGTGCTCACTCCTGCCCCGCTGCCAGGGGACGGGCTCCCGGTGTCACTCGCCGAGTCTGGTTTGTTTTAAAAACATCCACGCGCGGTGCCAGCAATGCTTCGTACTTATTCATGTGCTTGTGACCAACCAGGTGCTGCTCTAGATACTTTGTGGGGACCCACCACGTGGTCGGCAGTGTTCCAGACCCCGGAGATGGAGCTGTGACCCCGTCAGACCCGAGTCATTCCCTTTTCTTATTGTGGGCCTCATTCATAAACTTAATAGTCGCTCTTAATCCTTAATACTCCACACAGAGGCCCCAGGGGACCCCCAGATGGTTTAGGGACACTTCTGGCTTTGGTCTAGGTGAGGGGTCCAGTCTTCTCTGCTTGTTCCTCAGGGCCCACACTGTCCTTGCTGATGAGGCCGAGAGCACCTGTGCGCATGCAAGTCACAGGCTTGTTGGCTTCGGCTGCAATGGGATGTGGTAGGTAAACACACACAGGTAAGGACTGGCCTCCAGAGCCTGCTTATTCCCAGGCACACTGTGCAGTCCTCAACACGCTGATTCAATGGATGATTGGGCATGGGCAGCTGCGTAGCTGCAGCTCTCAAGACTTCCCTGATTTACAGCTGGAGGCACGATTTATTCTCCTGGTCTCAGAAGCACCCATTAACTGCCCCCATGCTCTCCTATGCTTCTTGCATTCGCCATGGAGTGCTCTACATACCCGTTACTGAGTGTGCCTGGGAGGAAGTGAAGTTAAATTCAGTGGAGCTGCTCCTTCTGGTAGTAGGTCTTGCTAAGTCCAATGCCAAAGAGCCCCATCTAGGTGGTCACATGATGGCTAGTAGTCTAGATCAGTGAAGGTAGATCCTGTTTAAGACCCTCAGGGATTAGGGAATTGCGAGGTAAAGAGCTCGTGGCCCCCCTGCAGGGGGTCAGCTGCCATGTGGCCAGAGCTTGTCAGGGTCCATTGGATGAGCCACTATAATCAGAAACTTATATGCTGATCGTGTGCATTGTTTTGAACACCTTATGTATTTAAAGCCACTGAGTTCTCATAACTCGCGTGAGCTAGTTATGCCCCATCGTTTTTCTTAAGAGATGAGGAAACTGAGGCACAGGGCTGTTAGGTCCAGAGTTCTTAGACCTGGGGGTTGGACCCTGGCAGAGCAGCTCTTGGATCCTATGGTCTTGACTACAGTTTTAGGTCTCTCCTGATTTTGCATGCTGTTACCTAATTCAAAGACTTCAGATTAATGTAACCCTAATAATGTCTGGTGGGCCCAACAAAACCTGACCGTGCGCTGTATTTGGCTTGCAGGGAGGCATTTTGTGGCATCTGTCCCATTATTGTATTGGCAGGTGGCAGGGCAAAGAGGGGACAGCTGGGGAGATCCGAGGAATTACTCATCGCCAAGGATTGGATCAAAACACGAATACACTCAACTGAAGAGCACTTTCTTTGTATTAGATCCTTTTACAGCCAATTCACAAAGGAACCATTTAAGGGGTGACTGTGCCTTTTTAAAGATGAGAAAATAGAGCCTCGGGAAACTTCAGTTGTTCAATCTAGGAGGTGGCAGGACTGGACTTTGGAGCCGGTCTTGAGAGCCAGGGTTAGGCTTCCTTCCCCATGTCCTTCCCAGTGGGTGTTTCCTCAAGCAGATGAACACTCAGCACAGAGACGTGAATCCATGAAGCATCTGAGTCGGGCTCACTGCGACATTATGTGTTGGTAACACAGGAAAGATATTTTCTCATCAAAAACTGCTGATGGTATGCACACAGAGAATTCAAGTGTGAGGTGAGGAATGTCAGGAGGGTGAAGGCAGACAGATGTAGTGGTGCAGGTGCTCAGGACTGCAGAGGCCAGGGCAGGTGGTAGAGGAAGAAGTTAAGTCTGGACTTGCCTTGGAATTGGGACAAGATCAACATGTAAGTCTCTAAGAACTTGGCAATTTATCTGTTCATCTTGTGATCTGAAGACCACATGTCTCAAGATTATCGGCCTTAGTAGAGCTTTTAGCCAAAGGACCTTACCAACAGGGCAGCTTGGACAGGTCTTGGAATTCCCATCTTTCTGTGCCTGGAAGACTTTTAAAGGACTCACCTCTTCCCCCCTCCTAGGCCTCTGGATGCTCACCTAGGGAGTGGTTCTGACCTTTTGAAGTCATTTTGTCTATATCTGACTGGCCATCAACAGCACCTGAGGACCTTTAAAAATGCAAATTCTACCACCCTGCTTCAAAGGAACCAAATCAAAATCCTAGTGTTTTTGGCTCAGAAATCCTTTTGACCTCATGCATAGTGGGAGAGAGAATCTCAGGCAGATTCCCCACTGAACAAGGAGCCCAACATGATGCAGGGCTTAATCCAGTGACCCCGAGATCATGCCCTGAGCTGAACCCGACTGAGCCCCGTGGGCACCCCAGGAATCTGTGTTTTCCAGATGTGTTCAGGTAGTTCTGAAATGTGGCCAAGTGTGAGCATCCCTACCTTCCTGTTTTGGAGCTTCTGATTTTATAACATTTGGAGGAACCTTCATCTTCCGGGCAGATGCCCTCCTTCCTAGTCTGTCCTGTCTGTTCAGCTCACTCCAGCTGCCGGGGTGCGTGATCAGCTGCGGCTCTAGCTTTGGACAACCATGCAGACGTGTGCCGTGAGAGCAGAAATTTAATGGTCAGAGTCCCAGTAGGGTGGTGGTGAAGATGGAGAATTCGTACACCTGGTGAGAGAGTAGGACTAGAGCAGCCAAAGGTTAGGTGAAACCCAAGGAGGAAGGAAGAATGCGGAAAGGGGCTCATGCAACAAAAGCAATGATGTTTGGCTTCTCCTGAGTCTTAGCTTTATATTTAGATCAATTCTCTCATCAGTTTTTTCCTCCACTGGATGCAAATGCATGATGTAAATCTGTTCTCATACCGTCTACCGTTACTCTTTCTTTTTAGGAAAGTCTTAGGAGTGGAGTCTTCTTCTTCTTCTTCTTTTTATTTTTTTTTTTGCGCACCTCACTGTGTCACTCATGTTTTTGAAAACTGGCACCAGCTGTCCCAGAGTGTGGAGCTTATGGGAAACACGGGCATGTTTGTGGATGACTCCGAAATATATTCTTTGCAGGATTGGTAATTGGGCCTGCCACCATTTTGTATTTCTTTGAGGAATATGCTGGACCTTTTTTGGATATGCTTAAATGTGAAGATTATCTTTTTTTTCCCCCTCCCAATGTGAAGATTATCTAGTACACATTTTTCTCTCTTGCCATTGGAAATAAATGTCTTATTAATGTCGGCAAAATATTTTATCTTGATAAACTATCGATGATACCTTCATGTATTTTAAAAATTATTTTGTTGTGTTGAGTAACACACATAATAAGGTTTACTCAACACTAGATCCCTAACTCAATACAAAAATTAATAGTAAAAAAATGATCATATTAATAATAATAAATAATAGATAGGGAGAGAACATGTTCCCTGCTTTAAGTATTCTCACTATCAAAAAAAAAAGAAATGAGGAGCTCCTCTGTGGCTCAGTTAGTTGAGCTTCCGAATCTTAGTTTTGGCTCAGGTCATGATCTCATGGTTGTGGGATGAAGGCCCATGTCCGGTTCTGGGCTCAGCATGAAGTTGACTTGAGGTTCTCTCTGTCTCCCTCTGCTCCATACCCCCACCCCCAACTCCTGTCCATGTGCACGCACGCAGTCTCTGTCTCATTTACTCTCTCAAATAAATTCTTAGAAAACCCAAAAGATAATCAGTGTTTTCTTCTATGCCAATTTGATTTATGCTACGTAATTCTATGTTCTGCAACCCCTTTCTATTTCCTTTTGTGGAACCCTAAGAATAAAGTACTTTAGGACTTCATCATGATTAATGTTTTTCTCAGGAGCTTCCACCTACCCCCGAGATGACGGCCACCCCCCACCGCTCAGGCCCCATGCTCACGGGCACACATACACTTCCTTTCTCCAACACTGTCTCAGGCTGTACTCTGCTTTGTCAGTGGTTATATATAAACATCCCTTGTGTATTTGTACTACAAATAGAGTGGGTTTAACACACGTAATCCCCAAAAATCTCTGTTATTGTTTCCATTCAGTTTCCATCCAGCCTGGTGTCAACTGCCCTTAAAAGCTGACTTTTACTTCTTGGTTCTATAAATGTCCTATTTTGTTCTTTACCCCAAAACC